ATTTCATTTAAAAAATGGGTAATTTGTTGTGTTTTGGGGCATTTAATTAAATTTGTCACTAAATTTTGGGGTTTAATAAGGAGTTGCGCTAATATTGCGCAACATAAAAATTTTCAACTACCACCATTTTATTCTATAGGGTCTTGGCATTCAGAAAATATATAATGTTGGGGGGTTTTACGTCATTTTCAGGCCTAAAATGTGGAATATAACATGGGTGCAAAAATGGAAAAAAGGGCCTCAGTCATGAAGGGGTTAAAGCAAATCATTAAACTGCTGGAAGGAGGACTGGGGGGTTGGTGCAGACTAGTTCATCAGTCCATACATGTTTATAAATGGTGGTAAAGGAAACAGAGAAATGAATGAGCCGTCATTGCTGATCCCATCTGCAAAAGCTGGTCACTCAGCTGCCTGGCTTACATATACAGAGCAAGAAGGTCAGATCTCATCTCCGTGCTTGTTTCAGGTCATTGTGTGAAAGTATTGAAGCCATCGGATCGGCATGACCGCTACCAAGTAGAAGGTTGGGGAGAGGTCAGAATTCACAGCCTGTGTATATCTCCCCGCACAGGTCTATATAATATGGAGTGCAGCGTTGGTTTGCGCTCAAGCTGCTGTTGTCATTCATTTAGTCATCCTTAGTCATTCCCGGTTTCAATGCGGAAGTTGTGCTTCCTCACATGCCTGTGTGGTGGCTATAAAGGGGGCCCCTCGACTAAACGTTGTGTGCGGCCAGCTTTACCGCCTCATCGCTATAAGTAAACTACTCCTTTAGTTGCTAGACCACGCGCTCTATAATGAGAACCCCTTCCTTCGTCATACCTGTCTTACATCGCCAGCCTATGCTGTAGTTTGCTGATTGAGATAGATGTATATATTGTACACAGGACATGAGCTATTCCAGTACATGTATGTACGCTCTAGGCGTGTGCATGTATACAGGGTAGATGCATCTGTTTGTGCAGTCTGCAGCTCACGTGGCACACTGATGGTCTTTGTCAGCAGCTATAGGGTTACCACTGAAGTGTCGAGTATCTGCTGTAGGCCATGGGATAGGAAGGACGTTTTGCTGCATGCCCACCTCCCGGCTCTCTGGATGTTCATCATCACGTCTGCAAGTCATTTCCTTTACAGATGCCGACTATTCATCCTTGTTCTGTACAAAGCTGAACGCCAGGACAGATCACTCTCTCATTTTTACCATTATTTTTTTTGATGACAGGTCTGCGATGGGTGGAGTGTGGGCAGTGAGTGTGCATAATAGCATTTTTGATGCCGGGGTGGGGTCTGATGTGTGCCAGCTGCTTAGAGAATCCTGATTCATTGCTGGAAAGGCCTTGGCTGCAGGGGGTGTGACTGGTGTCAGGCTCCCCCATCCCTTCCATCAGATGACGCTGCTGCCACTGGTTTAATCATTATCTTCCTCAGACTAGTTCTGTTTGTCTAGAGGATTCTAGAGCATCACTTTTCTTTTCGGAGACATAACATGATGTCTGGGTTAATAAATGACCTGTTCTGTCGTTGCATTATTTGTAGACTGTTAAAATGGATCCGGAGTCATAGGTTATAATTTATATAGACCTATGTAGTAATACACATCGGTTATTGCTTCTCCAGGCACACACTGCCTGTGCTGTGTACTGCTGTCAGCAGATCTGAATATTCACTTACAATGGTCCATCTGAGGAAACCTACCTAGCTTGTTGTCTTTTGTTGTGGTTAAGATTAGTATAGGTGGCCATAGGTGTATAGATCTCTTGTTCAGTCTGTGGTCTGAGTGAGAGAAAACCACTAGCGTCCTCCATCCATTCTCAACAGGGTGGATGGAGGACTCTCCCCTGACAGCTATTGTATTCTGACACCTGGCACCCGCAGCAGACTAAATACCCAAACAGTGATTCAAGCTGATTAGCTGCAGTCACTGTTCATCAGACAATTGTCCACCCAGCTCCTATGATTTCTAAACTGTAGTTTGTTGGGTGTGCTAGCATGGCCACCTAAACTTTAGATGTGGCTAAGTATGAGGCTGATTGTTACCTGTAGCTGCCAGTCAGCTGTCTATTGGTATTTGAAGAGCATTCTGCTAGGGGCAAATTGTGGCATACTTTTTAACATACAAGTGCAATGTATTTTCTATGACCTCAGGCCCACAGTAATTTGATGTGGATTAGTGTAAATCAGGGGTAGGCAACATCTGCCCTCCAGCTGTTGTGCAACTACAAATCCCAGGAGGCATTGCAAGACTGACAGGCACAGGAATGACTCCCAGAGAAGAGACATGATGGGATTTTTAGTTTCACCACAGTTGGAATGCCAAGGTTGACTTCCCCTATTATAAATTGTGAAAATCCTTTTTACCTTGCCTGGTTTGTACTAAAGATGTGACATTCAGTGAGCTGGTAGGGGTTTTCAGGTGGTTTCCATGCAGAGCTGGATGGGTCTTTCAGATCACATTACTGGATACAACCCAGCAGAAGAAAAGTCTGTGCTTCTGAATTAAAAAGTGCCTAAAGAACCTGATACTTTATTTGTAACACAGAGGTGGATGAAGATGAACACAGGCAGACATATAGTCCGGCTTGGGAGGAGCCAAGTTAACATAGCCACCCAGAGACAGGAAGAGTGCTGTTTGCAGGATCACCAGGTGGGAATAAAGGGTTAAAAAGCCTAAAAAAACCCAAATTCAACCACCACCGCTAAGGATTTCTAAGGTGCAATATATTTTGTTTTTTGGTTTATATATACTTTAGATCGGGGTGGGCAAACTCCGTGCCTCCAGCTGGTGTGGAAATGCAAATCCCATGGGGCATTGCAAAATTCTCCCAGCCACAGACATGACTCCCAGAGGCAGATGCATCATGGTATTTGTAGTTTCACCACAGCTGGAGTGCAAGAGTTGGCCCACCACTGCTTTAGATGAACCTGTCTTTTGGCTTCAGTGTTTTTGGAGCCACTTTAAAAAGTCAGTTTAAAGCAGAACTAGATAAAAACAATGGGAGTGGCGAGCGCACAACAGGTGTGGACAGTATGGAAAAACCTTAAATAGCTTTAAAAAAACTTGAAAAGCACTTTCTTAAAAAAAACTTATATATATATATATATAACTTTAAATACCGGGTGTGGGTGAGCGAGCTCCTAAATCAGGGAGAGGAAC